TTAAAAATGTTGATAGGTCAAGGCCAAAGGCAGAGCATGAACATGTCATTACTCAAAATGTGGTTCCTGGAACCAGCATCCCTGCCATCACCTGGGAGCTTGCTAGAAATGCAGAGTTCCAGCTTCCACTAAAGACCTTTGGGTTCGGAATAACCCCTATTTGAGAGGCACTGTTCTAGAATGCTTCCTGCAGGCTGACAATAAATGAGCATCTGTGGCAGGTGGTTACTGAGAGGCAACGGCATTGAGTCTCTTGGTTAGAACCTCAAAATACATACAACCTGCCCAGAATTTCCCCCACTCCCCAAAGCTGCCCTCAAGATAACTGGCTGCCCTGCTCGCTCTTTGTGGAGATGCAGACTGGATATTGATTTCAACCTGCTCTTGCCTTAGTACAAATGTGGGCATGGGGAGGATGTGTGTGGGGCCTGGAGAGGGGAAAAGGTCTGTGATTAGCTTAGCTGTGGAGTCATCTGCCCTTCACGTGGTCCAGGGCCCTGTATGCTTCATAGACCTCCATTCCAGACAACCTCCATTCAGCAAACACCTACTGTGTGCCAGGCACCATTTACATTATATCCATCCCTTGCAGCAGCCTTATTTTTACAGTTGAGGAAACTGAGACCTGGGAGGCTTGGGTTGCCTGAGGTCACCAGTCTGCAAGTCTGAACTCCCTCCATATTCTTCTGTCCCCCTGTCACCCTGCCCAGATCCCTGCTGTTACTGTTGCCAACAGCTCTGTGGAAAAGGATACCCAGGAGGCTGCAGAACAGGTGGTTTTGGTGATTATTCACACAAAAAAGGAAAAACTACCAATATAGAAGAGGAGGCGGGGCCTGTTACATTTTTAACAAGAGATAGGAAATGACTGGGCTGAATTTGCCTCTTTAACGGGCAGGCACTGCAGGGCAGAATTCACAGGTCCGGGACCAGCTGCTGCAGAAGGTTTAAACATTAGACTATAGGGTGGCCTCATTTAAGAGCAGACCATTTTATAAGGCGCATAGTGCTGTCTAGACTTGGGAGCGTTTATGATGTCCCATGCGTCGGGCTTGCACACCTGAGTTTCTGGCTCCAGTTGCTTTGAGGGTACAACCTCTCCAAGCAGTGCAGGAACAAATTGGAATTTTTGGGGAAAATTCTCCCTGCAGGGTCACTGTATGTTTCTTGGGGTGCCCTTAGCCGTGAGGCACACCTTATTATTTGTGTAAATTTTGCTTATTGCCTTTGTCCCTCTCCCTCCTCCCTACCTTGAGGGCTGCCTTGGGGGTTAGCTCTGCTTGGCTCCTGGAAGGCACTCAAAAGGAATAAGAAAATGAAAATCCTAACCCAAGAAGACTTAAGTGGGTATCATGAGTCAGGCTTTTGACTCTAAGTAGGAGCTTTTGCTCCCCTGTTCACCTGGAGGGGTAGCCATGAGAAGAAGATGGGGAACTAGTCCTGGGTAGCTTTCATGGGTCCCAGATCTCATCTTTTGTCTCGTCTCAGACTCAGGTGCCACCATGATACATGTGGGTCCCATTTGAGATGGGGATGCGAAGGTAAAGACCCCAGAGATGAGATTCGCCTGCTCTTCTTATGCTTGGGAACCAAGGTGGTCTCCAGTCTCAAAGCCTTCTCTTGCTGCCCCATGAGGAACTGGGAGGAATTCCAGTTTGCTCCAAGGAAGGAAGGCAGGCTGGCAGCCCTATTTAAGGGGTACCGCTGTCTGGGTTAATTAAGCGTTAATTAAACATGGTCTGGCCCAGAGCACTTAGCCTAGGCCAGGCATGTTCTAAGTACTTAACATTTAATCCCAACAGGCACCCATGAGGCAGGTACTGTTATTTTCCTACTTGACAGGATGAGGGAAGTGGAGCTCAGAGAGGTTATGAAAACCGCCCGAGGCCACACAGCTAGTTTGTGGCTGTAGCCAGCACTCGGCCCTGTGTCTGGCCTCACGCAAGACCTCTTCTCTGTGCACGGTCTCAACTTATCCTTCAGGTGCTATTTTATGCCACAGGAGCTACATTTATTGATCTCCTTCTTTGTTAACAACTTTAAAAAAATGTGACAGCCATTCGTAGCTCTCTAGGTCCTGTAAAAACAGGCCGGGGGGCAGAATTTGCTCACTGACCAAATATGTAGCAAACAAAGAAGCAAGATGATTTCAGCTGGTGCAAGAAGCCCCGAGGAAGAGGATGTGGGGAAAGATGGAGCAAGAGGAGGTGGACAGGAGTGGTGTTATGGGCTCCAGGGGCAGGAAGGGTCTCTGGGAGAGGATGGCATGATGCTAAGCTTGCGTGGAGGGAAGGATGAGAAGGTCTGCAGTGTGTCAGGCACTCGGCAACGTGTGCGCCTATCACTGCCCCTGGATGCCTGCTATCACTACTCTCTCATTACTGTTTCCTTGGCTTGCCCTTAACTGGCTCTCTGGCCTTGGGTGCGTCATCTCACTGCCCTTTGGACTGACCTGTCCTCTCCCCCCAACTGCCATGGCAGTGGCTCTAAGTGGTTTCTAGCACGCCTCTCCTCCTGACTTCCCTCCAGTGAGCGCTTTGAAATAGGGGCAGAAGGAGCTTGCTCTCCCGTACATTTTCAATAGAAGAGTCTTTGTACTAAGAGGGAAGCTTTGTAAAGGGGCTGCCTCTGTGGTTATTAACATTTATGGAGCCCTTTTAGTTTCCTCAGTGCTGCGTGAGGCTTTGCTAGAATGTGGGCACTTTCCTTTTCACACTGGCCTGGAAGCATCCCCTTGGCAAATGCACCATGGGACCATCGGCCTCTCACTCCACTGTTGAGGGGCAATTGGCAAGTGGACTTATTTTTTTACGCCCCAGAATGTCTTACCCTCCCCGACCCTGGATGGTAAAGAATGTACTCCTATTGTAATTTGACAATAGGACCTCCTGGAGGTCCTGCTGCATAATCAAAGGGGTGGTTTCTACCCTTGGCCCATCTGAGTGCATGGAGGAATGTGGACTTGGTCCAGCAGCCACCCACATCCTCCGTGGCCTCTGTGTGTTCACTGTCTGCTTCCTCCAGGAACGAGTCTCAGGATTGCAGGCCCTGCTCAGATAAAATAAAGCCTTCCAGTCATATCTTTACATTTGACGTCAGCGCAGGGAGGCTTTGCTGCTGTGGACTGAATGGGGCTGTCGCGAGGGCCAGGGGTAGCGCTGAGCCCGGCATGGTGGTGCAAGGGGGCGGGAGACCCATTCATCTTTGTGCAGCCTCCCTTGATGCAGCCACGTGGTCCAGCCCCGGGCTGGAGTGGGGTGGTGTGGGGCGGGGGAGCTCCCCCTGGGCTGCTGCAGGGCCGGCATCCTGTGTTCCTGTGCACGTTCTCTGTTCCTCGCTTGCCATGTAGGTAGGATGTCACAGGTATCCTAAGTCACCTCCCTGTCGGGCTTGTCTTGGAATGTTTGGTGGGAGTGCGTCTCCCTCTTTCCTCCAGTTCCACTGTCTGTGTTCCACTTCTCTGTTCTGTGCTCTCGTCACCTCATAGCATCAACCCATCTCTCCCTTTGGCTCTTTCCTTGCCGCCTACCCTTTCTAAGTGCCTCCCCACACACCTGCCTCCCCCTCTAAGTGTTTTCTCAGCCTGCCACAGGCTGAGCACGGCGTTAGACGTGGACATAAAGCCGTGACTGAGTTCCCCATGACATATAAGTCATGACACAAATACTGATCTCCCGATGAGGGGAGGGTTCTGCAGGGGAATCCAGGACCTGCCTGTGGGTGGAGCCGGCACGCAGCGGACACAGCAGTAACAGTGGCTCCCAGTTCTGTGGCCTCATGGGTGGCGCGATTGTGTTTGATAATGTCTCTACGGACAGAGCTTGTGGGGACCTGGTGCAGGCGCGAAGCTGTCGGTGTCCAGTTCCACTCACTTCAGTTCCACACATGAACAGGTGTATGCACAGGTGAACACGTGCCTGCCGAGGCTGACCTGACCTCACCCTGTGATCGAGCAAGGTGAGGTCCCTGATAGCCAAGGGCATTTCTCCAAACTCATCGTCCTGCCTTTACAACCCAGAGGGTGGTCATCTTGGAAAGGGTAGTGCCTTGGGAGACCTCACCGGAGGACCGGTTTGGAGGAACTGAGCGGGCTTTGGGACCTGGCAGTAAATGGGTTGGCGGGTTTTCCTGTTCGCCCCGGATACCTCCCCAGACCAAAGTAGTTTTTGGCCCCCCCGAGAGCCAAGGCAGATGCAATTACTAACCAACTTGTTTGTGAGCAGAGATGATTCCATCGACACACTTTTTCTTATTAGATTCCTGTTGCCATCCAATTCCTTTTTATGGATGTGTTTTATTTGAGAAGTTGTTCTTTGCGTTGGCCCTGCAGTTCCGTACAGTTTGGATTTGCAGATGACACTGGCACGGAGTAGTGGAATCAGCTGGGGCCGGCCAAGGGGGGCCTGCTGTCGCTCCCTTGGTCTTACTCTGAACTTTCTCTCCCAGTCTTTTTGTCACCTATCTGGGAGGTGTTTGGGTGCGGGGGAGCATGTAGGGAGAACTTAACAGACATCAGAGCAATTGCATAAACACAGCAAAGTCTGGCCTCTTAAAACCCCGGCTTGGAGGTCGGGCTGGCGTCGAGGTAGACCACTCGGCAGTGCTTCACTCACACCCCGGAGGCCTCCGCACAGCCGAGATACTCATTTCACCTCCAAGTTGAATCATCCAGACCCCGTAACCCGAGCTCTCCTTTTTCCCTTTTTCAAAGAATCAGGATTCCTAGAGTCAACAAATCTGGCCAAGTTAAGCAGCCTCCACTTTATGAAACAAAACCCACCCTCCCAACCCCAGGCTGTTAAAACCTGATGTTTTCTGTTGCTGGGAGAAGGGTGTTTTTGCTGTAAATGAAAGACGTGACAGGGGTATTTTGAAGTTTTGTTTTGGTTATTGTCGGTTCTGCCAACAAGTAACATCTGTATTTATTTTCCAAACTCCCCCAATGGCTGATTTGCATCTGTTTAGTTCTCTGAGTAACATTTCATTTCCTGACTTTATAGGTTGCCATAAAATCCATTCGTAAGGACAAAATTAAGGACGAACAAGACATGGTTCACATCAGACGAGAGATTGAGATCATGTCATCCCTCAACCATCCTCATATCATCAGTATTTATGAAGGTCAGTGATTTTTTTTCACCCTGTATCAGTTACCATTTCTCATACCATGGGGCTTGCCAAGATTTTTAGGTAATTGCCTTTCTGGGTGGGAGCCAAGTATTTTTCCTCATGATGCAAAAATAGCTGGGTGTTATCTCTTATTTGGCTACCTTGAATGCAGCCAGACACACGTAGCGCAGCGCCTTCTGCTCATAAAATAGTTCCTGGGGTACCTTCTCCCCTGCTCCTTGGTGGTTGCTAAGCAACCTGCCTTACTGCAAACCAGTATGTGAGACAGCCGTGGCCTCTGAGAAATGGCAGTTTGCTGGGTGACCACGTAACAATGGCTATGTTGTAAATGTCATTCCCAAAGCTGGTGATGCCATGCCGGTGTCCTGAGTTACCCACTTAGGCTCTTTGAGGTAAGAATGAACTTTGAGCAGGTCCAGGAAATAGCCAGAAAGACGAGGGAGGTGCAGATGCTTGGCAAATGGAATCCAAGTTGTAGTTGGTGTTTGCAGGAGGAGGTATGGGGAGAAGCTTATAAAACTGCTCTTGCTCAACTCTTCGGTCCTTAATGGGAAGAAATGAAGAGTATTAACTTCCCATAGTCAGCTTATCATACACACACACAGCTTATCATATACATGGACACACGTATACATCATCTACATACTGATGGATCATCCCTCCGTCTCACTGTCTGTCTGTCTAGCTATCCATCCATCCACCCACCCATGTACCTACCTACCCTTCTCTCTTTCTCTCTCTCTCTCTGTCTCTCTCTCTCTGTCTCTCTCTTTATCTCTCTCTCATTCCCCTTCCCGTCTGTCTCTCTTTCCTGGAAAAGTATTACACAAGCAATATGTATTTATTGCAGAAATGACTGAAATACAAATGTTAAGATAAAAAAATAATTTCAGCTCTAACTCCCAGTTTGATAAATAGCTCTCCATCCATATCCATATTTTTATCTACTTTTCCATAATTGTATGTGGTTTTTAACCAATGTTAGATCATAACGATTGTACTGTTTTTAGCTTAACATTTTTTTTTCATTTTTTATATCACACATCTGTTCCATAAACAGATGTCAATAAATATTCTCCTGTCAGGACATTTTAAAAGACTTTGTAGTATTCCATTTATGGGCATACCATAATTTATTGAATTTAATTCTTTTTTGTCAAACATTTAAGTTGTTTCAAATCTCTGTTATTATAAACAGGTGACTTTCCTTGTGCATTGTTTTTACATTCATTTCTGATTATTTTCTTATGAAAAATTCCTAGTCCTGGACTTACTGAGTCAAATGGTTTCTCCAGAATGTCTTAATATATGATTGAGTCAGAAAAATGAATCTATTTTTAATTTCTTCCCTAATCATAGCAACTTATATAGTAAGGTCTAAGAGGAAACCAGATATTTACCCTAAAATTTTTCTGATATTTAAAATTTTCCTTCTGATTCCATGTGGGTTTTTTTTTTTTGCTATTTTTTCCCCTGCTATTTCTATTTTTGCTGTTCATCTAGAAGTAAATATTGGTAATATCTTTTATCTTGATTTTTCTAAAGTTCATTTTCGGAGCCCCCGGGGATAGGATTTTTAAAGGGAAATTCTCACTGGTTCAACCGTTTATTCACTCCACAAACATCTCTTGCAGTGACTCTTATAATGTAGTCACTGGGCCAGCGATAACAGCCTGCCCAGATTTTTGGGCCTTACCCAGGTGCTGCTGGGTCAGCCACTCTGGGAGTGGCGCCCAGGTATCTGTGTTTTAACAAGTTTGAGAACCACTGGTCTATGAACTGTGTCCAATTCTTGTTAAGCACAGTGTTAATAGCGGTTAGAAACTTTCAGAGGAATGTTCTACGGACCTTATATTCAAGAAGCAGCAGAAGGCATGGTAGAAAAAATACAACACAGAAGTAGCAGCAACAGATTCCAGTACTGTGAAGGTCAAGGGTTAGAAGTATTCATGAAGATGTGTGGCCTCCAGGCTGGGTCTTGAAAGAGTTCTTTTGAATTGGTGACGGTAGAATATCAGGCTGAGAAAATACAAATCTGAATATACCTGGTGAATGAAGGGAATTTCTAGACGTTTTAAGTGAGAAGAGATTCAAAATGCAGGAGGAGAGTGAGTTTTGTTAAATTTTGAGCATTTTTGCTCTGTATGGTTTGGTTACCATGAAAACCTGAAAATGGTAATAGTAAAAGATCACCTGTCAGGTATGGACAAGTGCGGTCAGGGTGTGCTGTGAGCACCTGTGTGGTTGAGATTTCTTTATCAGGGAGGCAGGGGAGTGCCTTCCGGTGTGAAGTGTCCAGGGTCTTTATTTGGTCTTGATGCAGTCAGTGGTTACTGAAGCCTGGCCTGGAGAAGCCGGACCTATTTGCCAGCATTACGCCCTCTCTGGGGCTGACCGTGGGATGTCTCTCTGAACAAGGAAAGACCAGATGTGACCATTAACGGAGACACATTCTCTTCTTAAGGCCCTGTTGGTCTTGGTTTAGCTTCTGCTGGAGGCTTCAAGAAGCAAGACCCTTGCTTTAAAGATGAGCTCAAATGTGCATGAGGCCTCAATCGAGGACCTGAACTTTAATTTTAGGGACTTGGGAAAGAGCTTTTAGTTCTCACATAAAACAGTTTTGGGTTTCTATCTTAAATCCTCCATGTTGGCCTAGATAGACATGGCACTTTGGACAAGCTGTGGGCCTATCAGTAATGGCACCGATAAAATGGGGTAACTGTCTACCTCTCTCAGAGGTCCCAAAGAATTAAATGAGATGATACCTGTTCTGGCAAACTCAAGGATGGTCATCACCATGAAGATGCCATAATATCATCTGTAGATCTTACCTGGGGTTCATTGATAAGGGTATTTCATGGTGAGCTTCAGGGGCTCTATAAATCTTCTGGGATACTGTCCAATACAGATCCTATTAACCATAGATGATTATTAACATTGAAATTAATTAAAATAATTTAAAATTCTTGTCCTCAGTCAAGTGCTCCCTGGCCACTGTGGTCAGTGGCTGCCATGCTGGACAGTGTAGAGAGTTTTCCCCCACCACAGGGTAGTGCATGCTGGTGTGTGATGTGTCTTGTGTTAACATCATGGGTTATTTTTTTCTAGGAGGAGGGTGCATAGCTTTCCTCAGACTCTTAAGTTAAAAAGATTTAAAAAAAAAACCCTACTGCCACCAAATATTTTTGACCTGCAGATTACATAAATAACATACGAATACTTATAAAAGAATTTATATATTTACATAAAAATTTATATAAATAAAAAGTATTGTTTTTGTGCAGAAAACTCCAGGGACTTAACTGTGGCCTTTTTTTCTTTTCTTAGTTTCTGTTCTGTTCTCTTTCCCTTCTCCCACGCAAGTTCTGCTTCTCCCACATTCACTAAATAACTGTGGTGGAGGGTGGTTCCCCTGGGGATTAGGAGCAAGGGAGTGCTGAGGTGCTGTTTTTCAGTGTGTACCCCAATAACTATGACCCCACAGCCCCCAGGTCCCCTGACTGCCTAGGAGCCCTGGACTCTGCTCTGGGAATGACGTTGGCCATCCTGATGGCATGAGCAGAACTGCACGGCTCACAGAGCTCTCCTACCTCAGCGCAGTTTGGTCCCCATGGTAGATCTGGGAGGTGAGCAAGCGCCCCTTTCAATTTTGTTACCATTTTGCAGCACTGGGGAGACTGAGACTTTGGAAGTTTAACTTGTCTCCCTGGAATGCCAGACTAGCGCACCACAGGCTGGGGGCTGAGACCACCCTGGAGGCTCGAAGGCCAGGGTCAAGGTGTTGGCGGGGAGTTTCCCTCAAGTGCCCTCTCCTCGGCTTGCTGGCAGCTGTTTCTCCCCGTGACTTACATGGTTTGCCCTCAGTGTGTGCCTGAGTTCAGATGTCTGCTTTTTACCAGGATGCGGCCATATTGGCTGAGGGTCCACCCTGATGATCTCATTTAATTTAATTAGCTCTGGAAAGACTGTCTCCAAATACACATTCTGAGGTGCTGGGGGGAGCACTTAGACTTATGATTTGGGGTGTGTGTGCACAATCTAGCTCATCACCCTGGGTGTTTCAGGGAGTTGGTGGCCTGGCACACAGATCTCCTGATTCCGTGTTCTTCCCTCTGTCAGGCTTCAGCCAGCATTTCTGATATGGGTCTTGTGCTGGCTTTGCAACCGCCTTCTGCCCCCATTCAGCCCCCTCTGCCTGGCTTTGGCTGGCCCTTCAACCAGGGTGTGGTAGGGGCGGTGTTGGCAGTCAAGGTGGTACAACCCAAGTCTGTGAGCTAATACTGTGGTCTTTCTGCACACACAGTGAAGGGGAAGCTACTCCCTGGAAGCTGACTCATTTGACAGGCCAACCGAGAGCCTCAGCTGAGTGCAGAAATGCTTTAACTAGCTTAGTGAAAAATCAGTGTCGAGGTACCTAAGTAGCTGTTTGAACATTAGCCAGGTGAATAGACATGTTTAAAGAGCTTTACAATTTCTTTACAGTTTCTCCAATGAGGACCTTTATGATTTAGAAAACACACACATGTACATGCATATGTATGGTTGTACATGCACACACACAGCAGCGGTGGCAGACACAACAGCAACAGCAGCAATGTGGCAAAGCAGTAATGCACCTGATCCTGTATGTTTTGGAACTTGGGGCTTCATGAGGGGAAGGTACCATCTTGCATGTACTAACTGGTGATACTGAAATATTAGTTGCACAGAAAAAGTCATTCATTATTAAAAAATGACCAATTAAGTGCCTACTGTGTGCTGTGCTTTGGCCTGGGCACTAGGAATACAAGGGTGAACCAGACAAGCTCTGGTGTCATGGAGTTGACATTCAGCTGATAGGTAAGAGGACTCTGGTGAATTTTGAGCTGAGACCTGATGGGGTGAGCAGTGAGCCCTTTGAAGACCTGGGAATTCCAGGCCAGGGAACAGCATATGCAGAATGCTCAGAGGATGGAAGGAACATGTGTTGGTAGAAGTGACAGCCTGGGAGA